GCGACGCAGGCTTCTCCTGGCAAGGTGCTGCATACTTATTGAAAAGTTCTGTATCCTGGAATGAAAAATGTCAAACAAGAAACTTCCCCTGTTACCTGGAGGGGACGTTAACCGGTGACTTGGGAGTGATTCGCTCCAACTTCTTTATGGCTGGGGGAGGGAGCACCGCTCTGACATTTTTTTATAGGGACGTCTGCTGATGTTAAGCACTTGGGAGCGCCAGGCTGTTGAGATTAGACTCGGAAAGAGGAATGAGTGCGTATCTGGGGGATTCGCCCGCCTGTGTGCGCTGCGGGGAGGAGAAGCAGTCTGGGCACTCTCTTTTGAAGGCGCCACTCCAGCGAAGCACCATCCATTCTGGATGCAGTTACTTAGGCTGAAATAGCGCGGCTGCAGTGCCACCCCTCAGCGTGCTGATCTCGGAATATCTTCCTCCCTGCAGCCGGGACTTGCTTGGCTGCGGGGAAGATCGCTCCAGAGTAGCCCAGACGCCTGTGCAGCCGCCTAGTGAGCTAAATAGTCCCCGGTTTCCCTCGCCCCACAGCTGTGCGCTCCAAGCAGGAGGTGCCATCCCCCAGACCTGGGGCCCTGGGGTGCCTGGCTGAGCCTTGAAGAGCCGGGAGGGGGAAGGCCAAACCCGGACAAGGCGGCCGGTGCCTCCTTCTCTCTTTCCGCCCGGATTCTTGGCCACCGCTTCTGTTCATTCACAGAGAACAGGGTCCATTCAAAGAGCCGGGGCAGCACACTTGAGCTCAGGCCCCGGTCCCTCTGGATAGAAGGGGTTTCGGAGGTCTCCCCTCCCATTCCACCGACTCCCCCGCCCAGGGTCAAGCCACATGAAAGACTGTACTGAGCCTGCCCCTTACAGGAGCTGGTCACTGAGTCTTTTCCTTTGTTGTTTTCCTGGAAGTGAGGCGAGAATACCCATCCTCAGGAGGAGCGAATGGTGGCCGGCACCCCCTCGCGCCCCAGGACACAGGCAATCTGGCGGCTGCTTCAGCCCCTGGCTTCGTGGCTCATATACATATTTTGAGGGGGAGGCCTGGCGGCTGCTGCTTCGCCAGGTCAATGTGTTAATTAAAAGTTGGTCCGAGTTGGTCAGCACGCATTCCCAGATGTGCCGAACAGCATGCAATTAACACGTAAGGCACATCTTTTTGAAGAGACCAGAATGGCAACCACCCTCCCCCCAAAGAAACCCCACCCCGTCCCCGCCCTCGCCCTTGGCATGAAATAGTCACTGCAAAGAAGGGAAAAGTCATTAAGAGACAATTAAATGTGGGCTGCTGATGTGGGGGGGGGGGGATTCCCCGAAATCTATAGATTTCAAAAATAGCAAATTGATTTTTTAGGAGGAAGTGCAGGCACAAGATCTGTGTCCCCGCGTTCCCACCCCATGTATATTAAACAGCCGGTGAGCGGCTGGCCACTCAGTGTGGTGACCAGGAGTGCCGGAGTCCCCGCGCCCCCACTCACCCCCTGCAACGGCTGAGAGCAGGAGGGGGATGGGGATGGGGGCTCAGGCAGCCAGATTGGTTTTGCACCCAGGGATAATTACCGGCCCGCGTCCTGTGTATTTTTAGAAGTGCAGGGGAAGAGAGTGTGTGTGGTGACAGCGCCATTCTAGATAAAATATGCTCATATGAAGAGTAAAAGCAGTGTCCTCAGTGCCAGCGGAGGAGCTGGTCCGATTCCTCTTGCCCTTGCTGCCCCTGCCGGCTCCACCTCCCGCAGTTTCTACCTGAGTCACCCCCTTGCACCGGGTCCTCGGGCCTGCAGGACTCAGTTTGTTTCTAATTGTATTTTAATTCAGGTTGATTCATTTAGTTGGCCACTTCTCAGAGCCAAACCAAGAACCCCATCTGTTAGCGCCTGCATTGTGTTCTCTCTCTCCCCTCTCCCCTCTCCCCTCTCCAACTTCCTCACTTCCCAGAGCTTGCAGAAGCCAGACAGGACTTGGTGCCCAGTTGGGGACTTTGACACCAACATGGGCGATAGAATCAACTTTTGGGTGATCTTCCTAGACTTGTGTCTTTAGATGGTTTAGTTTCAGGCATGACAGGTGATTCCATCCCCAACACCACCTTTCTAACCAACCAATTGAAAGTGCCCTATGGAAAGGGCGTGCCTTATTGATGACACCCAATGAAGCAAATAATGGATTTGGCAGTCTCTTGGCTATTCATCTGGTCCTTCTGGAATCCTGGGTGTGAGGGAGCGATGGATAGTGATGGATGGGGAGAAAAACGAGAGAGAGAGAGAGAGAGAGAGAGAGAGAGAGAGAGAGAGACAGACACACGGGAGGGGGGCGCTAGGTAGAGAAGGGGTAGGCTGCAGGTGCTTAGAAACGCATCAGATTTGTTGAGCATCAGCTTGAAGAAGGCAGGCGGAGCCCTGATTTCAATGTGGGCAGCATCATTGTTAACTAGTGTCCACCGACTCCCCCAGCCCCCTCTGCCTTCCTGCCGCTCCCTTCTTTTCTCCCTTTGGTAGGGTACAGAAGGTGAATAATGAAACCATTCTGCTAATAGTTTATGAGCCATGAGATTGGAAATGTATATGGATAGAACAGAGCACCAGACTAAAACCAGTGGAAAGAAGCGCCAGGCTTGGCGGAGAAAGCTGCTGTGTCCTCTCTCCCAGCCCAGAGCGGAATGGGAAGGGGACGGATGAGATCGCCTGGTGCCTCTCCGCTGTCTAGGGCAGCGGTGGCCCCTCTCCCCCAGCCCCTCCCCCAGCTTGAGGGGCTGGAGCAGGAGGGAGATAGATTGGGGCGCTGGTGAGATAGCGCTCTGGAGATAATCCTTATCCCCAGGATTTTCTCCCAGTGATGGGATCTAAAAAGATCTATCACCCTGGGGCCTCCTCCCCCAGGCAGCAAACAATAGACTTGAACTTCGCTCTGAAGACAGCCAAGGGGATGCTGTGCTTTGTCATTTTGTCCCCATAGGGCCTGTTCCCCCAGTACAAACACCCAGAACCTTTGAGAAACACTGCAAGCACAGATTTGACACACACACTGGGCCGGCAAGCAGGTTTACACCCTCTTTCTTTTGGGGGTGACTGTCATTGCAAAGCCTGAGCTCCAGGGGTGGGAAGAGGGACACCTGAGAGATGGGGGGGCTGGGGGGAGAGGTGTGGGTGAGTGAAAGGTGAGACACTGCCCTGGACCCACTCTTCCAGCCCACAGAGGGGCCACGAAGACAGAGTAAATCCTCAAAGCGAGCTGACACAGTGGCCCCAAGCCAATGGCCCGGGAGAGGCCACCCCACAGCTGGCCCTGCATCTGGGAGAGGGCCAGGCGGGCTGGGTGGGAGGCACTGGCTCAGAGCTCCCCAGCAGGGACCGCAGGGGAGAGGGAAGGCCAGGCAGGTATGTAGCACAGGGAGCGCCCGCCTTGGAGCTGCTCTGGGCTGGTGTAGGGGGCACCCCGCGGGGTACAGGTCCCTGGGAAGCAAGGGAAGCCTCACTGTTTGCCAACCTGAGTGCTGGGGGGTGGGGGGCTGCCAAGGATGTGTGCCTGCCAGCTGGAGCCAGTGGCGCCTGGGGCGGTGGGCTCAGCCCGCAGGGAGTCCTCTCTGCTGCTGTCCCCCTCCCTGCCCGGCTGGCACCTCTGCCTTTTTGTCTCCTTCCAGACTTGGCTGGATTCTGGGGACAACAAATAACTTTTCCATGTCCAGGGGTAACTGATAGGAAGTAGTAGAGGACGTGCCTGTGCAGAGTAACGCCCCGCACCCCAGCTTCACAGGGGAGTCTCTTTGATTTTCTCTGGGTGTGGGGAGGCGAGGTATTTGATATTTCATTTATGGAGGGGCCGGTGGTGTTGGGCCAGGGTAAGCAGTGGTTCTCGGGCTCCCCCCCCTCCTCAACTAGGGCTGCGTTTAGGCCCCTAAGCCCCCTCCCAGGCCTGGCACGGGGTATGGAGCCTTTCAGGAGAGCAGTGCAGCCCCTCACCTGCTGACCCTCACCTGCTGACCCTCACCCACAGCCTCCCCCCACCTGCTGACCCTCACCTGCTGACCCTCACCTGCAGCCTCCTCCTACCTGCAACCCCTCACTTGCCAGGCCCTAAATCTCTCCAACCCCCACACCCACCCGACTCTTAATTCTGTTGCCCTTGGTTCCAGCGAGGCAGCAGGATAAATCCAGTGAAGTGAACTCCCAAGGTGGGGAGCTGGGAGTGGGCACAGTGTCTGTGTTGTGGGGGGTGGGGATGGGGGTGGGGTTGGCGGTAGTTTTTGAGAAAGCCCCTCGAATGGACATGAAAGCTGAGCTAACCCAATTCTCACCCTGGCTCTGGTTCAAGGCGAGAGGGAGGGTGAACAGTGAGTGGTGTTCAGGACTCAGGGTCAGATAGACCCTACCTGGAGGACAGCAGGGGTGTGTGAGGGGGGAGGAGGAGGGAGGGTTGGCCCTGGGGGGCTGGTGAGGAGGTCCCAGGGCACCAAATGGCAGGACGCTCTCCAGGCAAAGGGAGAGCTGGTGGCCCCTTGGCTAGTGGGGCCACCCTGATGTGCGCCCTCGCTCTCCAGGCCAGGTAGGGCCCCAGATCCAAATCCAGTTGCTGATAGGGGCATTTGCCGGCCCTGGAGGGTTGCTGTTGCCCCTGGGAAAGGACCCCCGCACTCGGGAACTCCCTGGAACCTTCTGTCCTCCCATTAACACAGGGCTACCTCCATTCCCATCCTGGATGTTGAAGAAAACCCCAAATCCTGGCAGTTGCCCACTTCCCCTTGGTTGCTGGCTCCCGGAATCACAAGGGAAAGCCGGCTGCGTGCCCCCCTCTGCCTCCTCGCGCCTGCAGCCCAGCCTCGGAGCCCGCAGCTCTCCTGGGTCTTCGCCCCTCCTGCCTGCTGCCGGCAGTGCCTGCGCCTGGGGGTGGCAGTGGGGCGGAGAGGAGCCCAGGGACATGGATGGGGAGGGTCCAGGTGCAGAGTGCCACCCCCTGCAAAACAGAACTAAACTGTAAACCCTTATACAGTGACATCCCACCCCTCTGGGTTGGTCCCTTCCCAAACCCTGCTGGGAGAGCTGCGGACGGTGGTGGTAGGGTGGACCAGAAAAGGGGATCCCGCGCACATGCATGCCCTCTCCTCTCATTTGTTAGTTGATTCCGCCTAAAAGTTGGCTATTTATAGGCTACAGGCAGCCGCCAGAGTCCGAGAGGCCGCTGGAGTCTCCGCGCCGCTTCCCGGTGAGAAGTGAGAGCCGTCCTGGTCCCCACGGGCCCCTTGGTGCGTCTGGACAGTGTCCTGCGACTGACTTGGTTTTGTTTCTGCCCACACACTGCGGGCAGCCCGGGAGAAGATCGCGGGGAGCCCGGAAAGGACCCACCAGTCCGACCATGTGAGTCCGTACTGACCCCTCTCCCCTCTCCCCTCCGCTCCGCCCACGCGGGCTGGTGGACACTGGGGAGGCGCAGCCACCCCGCGGCCATCCACCTCCCCCAGGCTGGCCTCGACCTGTCCCTCTGCCCCTCTAACCCACTGACCTCCAGCTCCTTCCTTTTCCCTCCCTCTTCGATCTCTCCCTTTGTGTTCTCTATTTCCGTGCGCCTGAAACCCTCCTGCTCTCAACTTGCAGTGGAGTTTGCATCTGGTCACAGAAAGAGACTAGACGCATTTACGTAGGAGGCGGGTGGGCCCGGGCTTGTGTGTTTCCGAAAGAAAACTGTGCGGGGCTGGGGGCTGGGGGCAGGGATGGCGGGGGTCTGGAGTCTGGCCCTGAGCTGGGAGAGGGCGCGGGCGCATTTGCACAGAGATCTTTCCTTCTGCCCTCGCCCCATCTACCGGCGGGGAAGGCAGGGCTGGAAGCCTCGCCATCTGGGGCCAGCCCTCGGCGGCATCTCCATCAGAAGCTCAGCTCCGCCCTGGGTAGAGAGGAGAGGGAGATGCAGGCGTGGGCTGAAGCTGGCCGGGAAAGAGGGCCAGGTTCCTAAATTTGCGCCTTTTCCCCGGAGCCGCTTCGGGGGCAGGACGCGCTTGCGAGGTGGCAAAGGCGTGAGAGAATCCCGGCGGTCCGTGGGCCTTGACCTTGGCCTCCTTTTCTGAGTGGCAGAACCTTAGATGGCACTGCTGTGTTTTGGCACCGAGACCTCAAGGCGGCGGGCAGCAGGGCAGACTATAGGCAGGTTCCGGAACTGAGCGAGGGGTGCGCTCTGGTGTGCGCGTCTGTGGAGTGCATGCGAAAGGGCTGTGCGCGCCCTTCTGTGGGCGGCCAGGCAGGCATTTTCGCGGGGTCTGAGAGGCGTGCAAGGTGGTTCAAACCACCCTTTCCCCCCAGAGTGGAGGCAGGATATTTGGGAAGGGATCAGAGAAGACTGCAATTGAAAATAACCAGGGACTTGGAAGCGTTTTGGCAGAAGATCAGAGCCCCAAGGTGGAGGTATAGAACTGCGATCTCTGGCGCGTGCGCGGGCCCTGTACCATCCCCAGATTAACTTCTTACCCGCCACCAGTGTCTCTTCTCATAGTGGATGTCGCAGTTGGAATCCCCCTGCAGCCCCATTCCCCAAGCGCCCAATCTGCCGCTGTGGGTAGACTGATGGGGAGGGAAGACCCAGCACTGGTCGGTCTCAGTGCCCCAGAGAGGGGGGCCTTCCTTTCTGGGGTGTGAGCACCTCCTTCCAGTCATAGCATCCGGGTTGGGGTCTGCTTCACTCCGGAGCTCACACTACTGGGAGAGTCTGGTTCTGATGGGATGGGGCCGCCCCTACCTGGCCCAGAGCTGTCCAGATTCTCATCCCCATGGCGCCAAAGGGCTTTCACACATTCAGCTGCCAAGTTCAAAGCAGAAGCAAGTTCCTGCTCCCATCCCTGGGCTGCACGCGGGGTTATGAGCAGATGTTGGTCTTAGTTCAGCTTTATAGCCCCAAACAGGAGGCAGGGATCCAGGAATGTCAGAACTCCCTCCCCCACCCCTGTTCCCTGACAGTAAATGCCTCTCAGCTCTCTTGTCAGGTGTTAGTCTGAGCATGTAGTCTTTTAGTAAATCCCAAGAGGAAGAAAAGGAAGGAAGGAGAGAAGGAGTAAAAAAAAAAAAGATGTAAGTTAAGAGGAAACGAGAGAAAAGATGGTAAATGAGGTAAAAGGAAAGGTTGGTAAAAAAACAAACAAACAAACAAAGAAAAAAAACAGAAAGACCTCTAGCTAACTGTTTTTCCTCCTTGTCCCCCTTGAGAGGAAAATGGTGTTTTCGGAGCCATGGAGTTTGCCCAAGAACAAAGCCTTCCCCAAGTTCTCTGGCCATGGCGGGTAGTGGATGCCTGTTGGGGCACATGAACTAACTTGCTTCTCAGATCCCCAGTTCCAGACCCCCAGCCACATGCAAACACCTGTTACCCCGCCCCCCTTCCACCCCAGGCTTCACTCAGGAGCTGGTCAAAGACCCCAGAAGGCCCAGGGCCCCCTCTGCACCCCCTGCAAGAGATTCTGTTCAGCCCAGCATCGGGCTGGGAGGTGGGTGCAGGGAGCCAGGCTGGGCACTTGGTGCTCCCTTAGGTGGCTCTGCTTTTAGGTATCTGCTCCTCTCTGGTGGGATCTTAGAACTTGGGAGCTTCCTGGGCTCAGTGAAGGCAAATGCACTTGCCTGAAGCTCTGGGTAGCTCTCCACACCTCTGCTGCTCCCCACCCTGCTGTGCTCCGCCCCAACCCTTCTGGTCCTCCCTCCTGCCAGCAGGTTCTTTCTGTTCTGTCCTTAGTGTCCTACTGCTGTGGCCTCCGGACACTCTGGGGCTTTACCTGCAGGTGGGATTCTCGGTGGGAGGACCTTGCAGTCCCTTCCTCAGTGTGAGTAAAGATGACATCCCACCATCCAGACAAAACTAGGGAACTCACTTGGTGTGTATGGAAGGAGAAGAGGACAGAGAAAGGGGGCCTGTTTGTTTCCAAATGAACTAGTGCAAGGGAGAGAAACTCCCCACTCTCTCCAAAATAGCTTCTGTTTTCAAGACACTCAGGCAAGTGGCAGGACACGGGACTGTCCTTTTACAAATCCTTCAGGCCTGTGACTGTCTAGAAGCCCCGAGAAGAGGGGATGAGAGGTATCCAGTGCAGGAGGGTTGGGCAGAAGCGGCCACCTGTGCCATCTGTGAGTGGGCCCTGCTCTTCTTTGATGCTATAAACTTAATGAGGTTATGGCTGTAAACAGGGGTCACCGTTTTAGGAAGAATCAGCATAAACTCCTGACCGGCCCTAAGTCGTGCTTTTCGTTTTGAGCTGCTTTGTCACCAGGGATGGGGTGATCAGCTTGAACCACCCCAGACCAAGAGAGGTGCATGAGCGAGTCCCTGTCTTCTCAAGCCTCACCTCCACCCCCTAGGCCCCATGCTGTCCTCTCTGCAGTGTGGCTGGGCCATCGGGGGACTAAGATGGCATGAGAAGCAACCCCGTCACCCCTCGCCCTTTCCCCAGCTGGACGTCTAGCTTGGAAAAGAATTGCTCTGCTGGGGTGCGTGGAGGGAAAAGACAACGGCCATTTTTCTGAAAGCTGGAGCAGTTGCCCTCCATACCCCCTCAGTCTTCCAGCTGTGGGCTGATTCCTAAGCTGCGTGTCCTTATAGAGACTTCCCTTCCTGAGAAGTGAGAGCTTGAAGGAGCTGAGTACAGTCTCCTTCCAGGATCTCATTTCATGATTAAGTTTATAGCATATCTGGGCAAAGAGCTGAGGCCTGAAAGGGAGGAATGAGGGAGAACCCAGAAAAGAACAGTGACTCTGTTAGACAAGGAATGCCCACGGTTTCCTTATATGTCTCACCGATGAAACTCCATTTTTCCCTAAAGAGAAGTGATAGAGTCCTCAGCTTCTGTGAGTATTTTCACGCATGTTCAGATGTATACACTGGGCCGGGCATCTTTCGAACCTGGCCATTGAATACAGGTGCTACCTGCTAAGTCTTCTGTGCATGCTTCTACCTGACTTGACTGACTTGAAACACTGCACAAGCATTTATTTTCATCAAGTTCTTGTTCACCTTCAACAGGTTGGTTTCAGTATTTCTCAAGTTTCCTTACAATAACAGGGCACGAGCCAGATAGGGCAGCCTCATGGGACAGGATTATTTGCTCTGCAATTCTCCAGGTAGTTCTAGCTAAAACCACCCCTGCTTTCTCCTAACCGAGACACATACCTGAGACGAAAGTGAGTGTCATTTTTTTAAACCGGAATTATTCAAATATTTGATTTTTTTTTCTTTCTGCCTGTTCGGGATAAACTTGGTCATATGAACATTTAAATAGGCACGTCATAAAAGATAAACACGACTTTTTATGTAGAAGTTGTCTTTGAGATTTAGAAAAAGGAGCTCGGGTATGTAATATAATTTCAGGACATTGTATCTTTGAAATTCATCGCCAACTAGATTTATGATCAGAACTTTCCATTACCTTCGGCATGCTTGTATAGGATTAGGTCCTCTGGTGTAACCGAATCTGCCATCAACCGCTTAACAAGTACATGTTCAAATGAGATGTTTCCCAAATGTAAACCGTTTTCAACATTTGCCTTTGTATAACCTGGTTGGAAGGGAATATTGCAGCCCAGAAAAATTAAGTTTGAAGCATAGAGTATATTCTACAGACCCATTTATATAGCCTCTGTTTTATTGTTAACATTTTAGTAGTGACCCATGTATATAATCTCTGTTAAGATTATTGTAATTAAAAAGACATTTATTTTTCAGGAGGAAATATGTCTTTGTTTGGGAGGAGGCTTATTGAATAATTAGTTTTCCTCCAGTGTTCTTTCTTTTTCTTTTTTTAAAAATAGAATTTATTGGGGTGATATTGGTTCACAAAATTATACAGTTTTCAAGTGTACAATAAAACACCATCTGCCCTTGCCAAAACCGGTTTGGCTCACTGGATAGAGCGTCGGCCTGCGGACTGAAAGGTCACAGGTTCGATTCCGGTCAAGGGCATGTACCTTAGTTGCGGGGACAGCCCCAGCAGGAGGCAGCTGATTGATGTTTCTCTCTCATCGATGTTTCTAACTATCTCTCTCCCTTCCTCTCTGTAAAAAATCAATAAAATATATTTAAAAAAAAAACAACAACAACAAAACACCATCTGTCCACTGCATCCTGTGCCCATTGCCCCAAGCAAAGCCTCATTCAGTCCCCATTTGCCCCTCTTTACCTACCTTTAGCCAGCCCCCGCCCCCTTTTCCTCTGGCCGTCCTCACACCATAGTCTGTGTCTATGTGTTATGTATATATGTTTTTTGGCTAATCCCTTTGCCTTTTATCATCCATCCATTCCCCTCCCCTCTGACAGCTATTGGTCTATTCCAAGTCTCCACACCTCTGTTTCATTTTTGTACATCAGTTCATTTTGTTCATCAGTTTATTTT